GGCTACATTTACACATCTTATCACTGCATTTTCTTCAAATGAAAGTTTGCCATTCACATGCCCTTTACTTCCTAATGACCTCATTCAGACCAGAATTGGAACGTGGAATCTGAGGCCCGGATTTTTCTCTGACTCAGTTTCCTGTGTTCTGAAAGAAATTCCTTTTCCTTGTATTAATTGTCATTCTTCCTTTGTTAAGACTTAAGCTAAGGTAAATTCTCATGTTATCCTCTACTGCCAACCTTTTAAAATATTGGAAGTACTCCCACCAAATGAATTGTGTTCCCACAATTTCCTAGCATCATTCATTGCTTTCATTTCACAGAGGCAAACACAAAAACACATCCTTTTGTACATAACAATCATAAATACTTTCCCAAGGTCAGGGATATTTGTTTCAGGAAAGCCTTATTTTACCAAAGAACAGGATGTTCTGAAACACTCAATATTCTGTGAATTATCTTCTATGCCTATTGAGGTTTCCACTGTGGAGACTTCTACTCTCCTTCCCCTGAGAAAGAGGTAAACCTTTAATCTGTCCACACACACTGTCTCTGCCCAGGCCCCGAGATTGGCTTGACAACTCACAGAAGTGGAGATGAAGATTTACAGTATAAGGGAAAAGGGATGCTTTTATGATTGAGGGTTTTTAAGATTGTTCCATTGTGCAATCCCAGGGCTTTGAGCCTAGTTTTGTTTTGATTTTGCTTTTGATTTTCATCTTGATGTTTGGCTCTGTCAACTCTAGAATTTCTGGTTTTCATTACTGGCTGGACTGTGCTGTTAGTTTTTGGTTGGCCTTATTATTATTTTGATGATCCTGACCCAAGATTTCAGTTGATAAGTATATCTCATGTGTTTATCTAAGAGTGCTCTTACTTTGTGAGAAGTTAGTAGGTATTTTTTTGATGAAAAACAATGCCCGTTTATTTCCTACTACAATAATCTAAATATATGGATATATGTTTCTAAATGTATATATATGAGAATTATTAAGCCCATGTGCATAGTTCTTATTACACTGTAACTTGTCTTTCCAAATGATAAGAAAGCCAGGAAGTTGCAAATAGTTGATGTAATTATAGCATTATGGATCCATTATGCCCAGAAAAGATTGTCTGACTGTGGATTTTCTATAATTCAGAATCTGGCCCCAATGCCTGGTCTACCTACTAAGAATGACTCGTTAGTGACTCTTAGACTCAGAAGATTGTAGCATGCAAGGGGGTTGAGCCCCAGAGGCTTTGGAGTCAAACATAGTAGTCTAAGGTTTTTGCCCAGCTGAGAGATATCCTGAGTGCATTCCTTACATGTTTGAAATTTGGTTATTTCCTTTCTAAATGTGGATCCAAGTATTTGCCTCATAACGTAGTTGTAGAGACTTAACTGTCTAAGGTGTTACATAGACATAGCAGATAAGATGGGATAAAAGTGGTAGCTACGATTACCTAGAAAATGGTTATAAACCAAAATTTATAGTAACAGACATATTTGCTAAGAATCTCAGATATGTATAGGTTGTAACTCATGTAAGCCAAATTACATTTAGAAATTTTGTTGGGCAAACACAAGAGAAAGAGAGGCCATCAAATCTAGTATGCAAAATTTAAATGCCAGGTTAAATAAGCTAATGTTCCATCTCACAAGGCAACTATACCTGCCTCCATGACCACGCAGGGGAGGTGGTGAGGGGTGGTGTCTTTGCCCAGAGCTGGGTGTTCTCAGAGTTCTCTCTCCATTATCCGGGTACTCCTTGTTGCTGTTATGATAGGACTTCCAATCTGGATCTGGGTATGTCCTACTAGTTTTAGAACTATTCTCCTTCCTTAAGATAGTGGTGTATTTCTTCTTCTTCTTTTTTTTTTTTTACCATGCCACAGCAACAGTTTTTATTTTACTATTTATTTATTTATTTATTAATTTTTTGGGAGGACATCTCTCATATTTATTGATCAAATGGTTGTTAACAACAATAAAATTCTGTATAGGGCAGTCAATGCTCAATGCACAATCATTAATAGTGGTGTATTTCTTTTCCAATCTTTTTTTCAGAAAGAACACTTCTGTTCACACTTATGTGCTAATATTGTTGGGAGACTTGGGATGGCTATTAGATTTCCTATTACTCACATATCAAAAAGTGAAATGATCTGAAGGTTCTCAAATCACATCTACATAAGCAGGAAGGAGCAACATGATTAAGTGATGGGTGGATGAGGACATATCAGGGCTTAGGCTGGTGGCTGAGGGCTGAGTATCTGTTGACACTGCTTTAGATCCTACACTATTGCCTGGACACTTAACAAAAATAGTACAAATCTGATCATTATTTGTCAAAACCTTTTTCTTGTAAAAGTAGAAGGCTGAATATGCATCCTTTCCAGTTTTTTGGGCTTCTGTCTCCAAACTCATCCATTATCAGATTTCTTTGTACATTCAGAAGCAAGCCAATTCCTAGAACCTGACTCACTGAATGACTATTTTGCCAAAGGTAAATGTGTTCAATGACCAGTGTACCAAATTTCCATTTTCAAAAACTAATTTTGGTGGGGTACTTTTCATTTCTGTATTTATAATAGCATGCTAAGGAATCTTCAGTATATTTCTACCTCTGTGGCTGTCAGCTGGGGAATGTGACAATGAGAGGCAGAGAGACAGGAGACTAGGACATATGGAAGATATGTCACAGGGGTAATTATTGAATATGAAAATGGCTATGAATATATTATTATGCATAAGGAGATTATATGGATAAGAATTCTTCACATATTCACTACCTACACATTCTGGAATATTTTCTTGATTATCAAGAAGTATTATAATATCTGCTTACATGCTTAATAATACATTCTTAAAAATATATTCATAAGATTGCTCTATATTTGAGAATACAGTCTTATTATTATATCCCTCTCACCTCTGCAGTGTCTCCCCTCCAGCCCACAGCTGCCCCTCCTCAGTTCCCATTTCTGTGTGCTGTTTCTCTTCAGCCTCTCTCTCTCTTTACCTTTTAGTTCTATCTGGAGCCCAGGAGGCTGGGATGGAAACGAATTAAACACTCCTTAAAATGCTGTAATGAGTACAAAATCAAAACCCATCAACCACAGCTAAATAATTGGAAGGTATAAGTAAATTTAATGAATTAGTTATCTGGAGTCTTGGCCTCCCACTTACTGACTTCAGGCAAGTTGCCCACTCAGCACACTGACCTCTGGTGAATCCACTTAGACCCTGCGTCTTCTGGGAAGAGGTAGATTGGTGAGAATGCGGATCTTGGAAGAGATTCCTTTTTTGTATGTAAATTGCTTTGGGTTAAAAAAACTACAATAAAATGTAATTCTGTGGGGGGAACAGGGACCTGATTCAGCTGATCATTAGCCTGGAAATGTAGATGCTGTAGTTCTGTCCAGCATTTATTAAACATGACTTCATATCTTTGAGTTCACCGGGATCCTTGTCAATTTTATTGAATTTAGGAAATAAGGAGAATGTTCCCGGCAAAGTTTATGTGATGTATATGACCAAAATCACTTTTAAAGTGATTGGCAACAGAGGTGATTAAAGTGCCTAATTACTATGCTTGGCATATTTTAAATTTATGAGGCATTGAATGATTTGTTTAGTAGTCATTGTTGAAATCCCAATGTTACATCAGCTCAAAAGAGTTACCATGTGTAAAGCATTTTATTTGGTCCTAGTATTTAATCACCACGACATCTCTGGGAAGTACACAGTATTACTAATCTCCGTTTACAAGGGAAAACAACTTAGTAAAGTTGATTCTTCATAGTCTTTCTGTTAGTAACTAGGGCTTCAGAATTTGAACTAAGTAGCAATTCTCAATCTAGACCAGTTCTGTCCCATAAAAATATAATGTGAGCCACATGTATAATTTTACATTTTCTAGTAGCCATATTTAAAAAGTAAAAAGAAGTGTAAGTGATTTAATAGTATATTTTATTTAATTCAATATCATCCACTCTAATTTCAATATGAAATCTATATAAAATATTAATGAAATATTTTTAATTCTTTCTTAATACTAAAGCTTTTATGTCCACTGTGTATTTTATGCTTATTGCACAGTACATCTCAATTAAGACCAACCACCTTTCAAATGTTGGCTATGTCATATATAGTAGGTGATAAAGGTATTGATAATGAAAGTCTAAACCCTTGATCCTCAAGGAGTGGTCCATGGACCAGCAGTGTAACTATTACTGCCTGCTTTTCAGAAATACAAGCTCTCAGGTCCACCTCGTTTCTGTTGAATCAGAATATTCATTTTAATTAGATACACATTTAATTAGATGCATTTACTCAAATGCACATTAAAATTTGAGAAGACCTGCTTAAGAGCCCATATTCTTCACCATTTTACCGTTGCTGGTCCAACGTGCTTATTTGCTACCTCACTGCACAAAAATGTCTCATACACAGCAACCCTCTTTGCAAGGTAACAATGATGGCATGTTACATTGGGAAAAATCCATCTGCTTTGGGACAAGGCAGATCACTAGTTACGGTATTTTCTGCACAGTTACTTAACAATGAGCCTTACTTACAAGTTGTTTTCCCTTGTAAACGGAGATTAGTAATACTGTGCACTTCCCAGAGATGTCATGGTGATTAAATACTAGGACCAGATAAAATGGTTTACACATGGTAACTCTTTCGAACTGATGTAGCATTGGGATTTCCACAATGACTACTAAACAAATCATTCGATGCCTCATAAATTTAAAATATGCCAACCTGGAGATGGCATCAACGTCGATTGCCTGTTAAATATCATCCTCCCCTTCCTTGGTTATAGACTCTCAATTTTTAGGTGAGAGAACTGTCTCCAGAGATGAATATGTATTTCTAAGTCTTCTTAGGACTAAGTTTTCCCTGATGAGATGTTAGCCTAAGTGTTCTTTCTAATTTCTGGAAAAGGTTTTTTCAAGCTTCTGAAGCAGTTAAGAGTTATGCCCCCTTTCCCTTCTTTTCTCTTGCAGCCTGGAGTATGGACATGATAGCTGGACCTGAACAGCCGTACTGAACCAGGAGGTGATTTTGAGTGGAAGTCCCTGGAAAATCCACTTTATACTACTAGGATGGTAAAGCAGAAAGATAGAATGCTCCCAGATTCCTGGTTATAGTAGAGCCGCCCTACAAGTCTAATTGCCTTTGTATTTCTTTTTTGGGTTGAACAGGTAAAATAAATTAGTATATGTTTAGATGCTTAATAGGCACTAAATTTTTTTAACAGATCTGAGAGACATGGTGCTGGCCTTAAAGAGCTCAAAATAGATAAAATTTTATAATAAATATTTATCTGGCATGCCATGGATTATTTATTACCTTGGGCATACACATATAAGTGCACATATCCTGACTTAAAATGCATAATAGTATAATGTAGTTAATGCTAAATATGTTTATGTCTAGATAAGACTCCTTTCTTGAATCGGTAATGAGATAATTGCCAGTAGTAATAACGTTACTTAGTTAAATCTGTCTCTATTGAATTGCCTTAAAATTTTTATGTAGTGTCCACTACCTTGACATTGCCAAGATCTCAAGACTATGGAATCACCCACTCTGGATTGCTTCTGGTCATTTAGGAGGAAATATGTCTATTTTTTTAAAATGCTCTTTGGCCATAGAACAAGGACGCAGAGACTTTCTTTAGGCATACTTATTATCTAGGAGTTTATTTTGAGATGAAGGCTAGAACTTGGATGGAATCCACACTTGCATTTATGGAAACATTAGGAAAGATTTTTAGGTCATGAAGGAGCCTTATATTAAGTTCATCTAACCATTTTACATTACAGATGAAGAAACCAAGATCCATAGAGGAAAAACGGTTTATTTGCGTCCATGGCAAGCTGCTTAAAGAGAGTAGAGCTGGCAATAGGACATGGTATCCCTGGTTCCTAGTTCACTGTGCTTTCCAGAGCACCAGTCTATACAGACATGCATACGTACAAATGTACATGCATACATGCATATGGTGGTGGTGACTATTCTACACGCAGGCAGTGAGTTACGGCTTAACAAAGGGCTTTCAAAAACATTATCACGTGAGGCTTTTTCAATAAATCCGAGAAGGAGACATTCTGTCCCCATTCTACAGATAAGGAAACATAGATTGAGAAACTTGTGTCACTGCTGAAGGTTGTCATACACCATGCACAGCTGGATTGCGAGGAGCTGTCCTCATGTTAAAGAAATGGAGCTTTGAATTCTGTGCAGCATGTAACTGTGCTTTCTGAAGATATTTCCAAAATTCTCAAATCCCACTTTTTAATATATACATGCACCATCATGCTACCTAATTCTCTATCACTGTGACTTGGATAAGGCACTCACTAAAGGAATGCCTAGAAGTATGTGCTGGGGTATGACATAGAGAAAAGGATCTATTTCATAAATTCTCAGAAATTTTGGGTGAGGAAGCATGTTAGTATTTTAAGGGTAAATATTTGTAGTTTTAAGGTATATATTCAAAATATTTGAAAAAATATGCAATGCCCCCCAAATGTTTTCATAATATAAAATAGCAAGGACATAATAGAAAATAGAAAATATCTTCCTGATGGAGAGTCAGAGAAGATACAATGATTTTGAAACAAGAATGTGGCCCTTTTAGGAGGCCTTATCATAATATTTGAAGAAGAAGTTCTGAGTTCTTTTTGAATTGGGGAAATAGATGAAGACAATTGAAGTATTGAAAGAATGTTTTGTGGCTTCAAAAATTGAAAATTTAAAAAATGCCAATGAACCAAAAGTTCATCTGTCTTTTCCCCAAGAAAACCCCATTGATGTTGGCAGTTTGGGAGTATGAACATGTGGAGTTACACAACTGCAGGGGGCACCATGCACATCACAGTGTGGGTGAACAGGACTTCCAGGAAGTAGTGCAGTACATAGTACACAGCCTGCACTGTGTAGGTGGCATCTCCAGGCATCTAAGGGGACTTTGTTCTACACACAGACTAAGAACACAAGAAAGGAAAAAGGATGGGCTTCGTAGAGACACGAGTTTTCATATGTGAGACTTAATTTTTTTCAACTTTAAAATGAGGATAATTGAAGGTGTCTCTCAAGGTTCCTTGTTCTACAGAGATTAAGGTGTTCAAGAACAGCAACGTGCCCTCAGCCTGGAGGTAAAGTCATTAATGGAAATAATGTCATTTACTGGTCATTGAAAATGAACAAATAAGAGACACCTGTGGTCCCTGAAGTGAGGGCAGGTCCTGAGTTCTCTGGGGCCAGCCATGATCCAGAGTTAAGACCAGTTTCCTTTGGGAACTTTCTTAATAAATGACTTGCACAAGAGTCCATGTCTCAGAAGCTGCTTCCAGAGAATTGGATCTGCCCACAACCATCCATTTAGGAGAGGCATGTTTCAAGTCGCCCTGTAGCTGGAATGATGAGCATAGGGTGATCTCACTAAGAATCCCATGTTGAAGACTGTTGGACAAATCAAAGGCAGTTTCAAAACAAAGTCCATTCTCCCACAAAATCTTGATGCTTTCACAACATTTGATTCACTCTCCAGATTACTAATTCAGGGATCTCTGTACAAAGTGACAGGCTTGTGCAATTCAAATTTCATCTGGTTCCCTTTTTCTGCATGAGGAAATTATGTGAAACATGGTTCGAACCCAATTCCAAGTCCTGTGGTTGTGAATCCCAGCTACCCATCTCTGCTTGTGTCAGTCTCCACATCCATGTGCTTCTCCACTTCCCTTCCACCCACACCATTCACCTCTTCCTGCTAGCAGCTGTAACACCCTCAGTGGTTTTTGAATTAGTAGAGAAAACAGAGTTATAAACTTTGTGGAATACCTCTTATCTTGCAGACTTAAAAGAAGACCACAGCCTAGAATAAAATCATGGAGCAAGAGAGCTAAGAGCACATCTTGGTGGGAGCAGAGATGGCAATGTTCTGCGTGTAGCTTTGTTTTATCTATGAATATTTGTAAATTGCAAGTGATTAAACACTGAGACATATTTTACGTAAAAATAGAAGAACCCCAAATCAACTTCATGAGTGCATATTATACGTATCATATCTACTTATATGTAGGCATGTGTGTGTATATGTGTGTGCATAGACACAGACATATATGAAGGAAATATTCCAAATAGAGGTGCCTCTGAGTTTTGGGGTTCTGGGTGATTTTAAATTTTTCCTTTGGATTGAGGTAGACTATCCATAAAGTGCATAAGTGTACCACTTAATTCGTTTTTTCAAACATGTGTTCCCTATGTCACCATCATCCAGATCAAGATGCAAAACGACCCAGAAGGTTCCATTTTGTCTCTTTTTAGCTGACACCACATCTTCCCCCTCTACAGCCCTGCTGAGACAGCTCCTCTTCAGACTTCCAGCATACAGACAATTTTGTACCTCTATATACTTGTGTTCAGATTTTCAGATTTTCCAGTATCAACATGGACTGTTTGAATAATTACTAAAAAAAAGCAAAGTAGATGAAAGGATAGCTTTATGCAACAAGCCTGAGTATCTCATATTAATGAAGAAAGTGATTTCCGGAAATTCCAAAGCAGAGGCCACTACCAAGGAGAGGTGCAGGGTATATAGCGGGATACATTTGCCATCAGGGTAAAGAGTGAAAGGGGATCATAGCTGGGGGGGCAGTGTGCTGAATTTCAGCTCCAATACTTTCTGTGATGAGGAGGGGTCTCAGGGCTGCAGCCGATGGTTTCATTGCTCTGCTAGTCCGTTTGCTTTCTAAGCAGTAAAATGGGATTACAGGTTTCAAGAATCAGATTCTCACCGATCTGTTTCAGACCCATAGATTTCAAGCCCACCATTATTCAATTGAAGGATTTGATGTCTCTGAGGAGAGGCAAATTATTGCATCTGAAGAGCTTTTCTGGAAGAAAGGGAAAAATATCACACACTATAGTGGTTCGCTAATTACGTTCAAGTCCATGCTAGAGTCAAAAGCAGCAAGACTGTGAGAATTTCCTTCACATCTCAAGCCCTTCTCTTTGGAAGGGGGTCTCTAAAAACCTCGTTACAATTGAAGAGAAATTACTATTCTTCAGAGCACCTTCTCTTGAAGTTTGAAGGTTTCAAACTGGTGGAGAATTTCTTAGACACTGAGGTCAGATTTAAAAAGAAGTACGTTTTGTTGGGCTCCTCTGACAATTCTTAAACAGTAGTTCTTGTGCTGACTAGGGGGCACTTAACATGAAGATTGCTCATCTGTGCCCAAATTGTAGAGGCAGAGGAGGAAAAGTACATCTTCCCATATGGTAAGGAAGTAAGCTAGTAAATCTGTTGTTAACCCCTTCACCTTAGAAATTGCATGTCGTAGCTTGAAATTCAGCACTGTCCTTTTTAAGATGATGTGAAACCCTATTTAATAGTGAGAATAAACAAGAGATATGGATTTATGTAAGACCCAGTTCAAATCACATGAAAATTTTTTTTGGACAACTTGCATGTAGTCAACACTTCAGACTTACAGGTTTATTTTTTTTTCACCTGTAAATTAGGAATAATACTATTTTCTCACAGGATTATGGTGGGGATTAAATTTTAAAAACAGAGAAAAAGCTAAAGCATCATATAGACTCTCCAGAAATATTGGTTTCCTCCTCCTCTCTGTTTAATGAGATCTCCTCAGGTAGGGCTATCCAGGGAAGTGTAAGACCAATAAAGTTAGGAGCACACATTTTTGAATTAGGCGTAAATAATTTCAAGTCATGGATCTTTCCTGTACTTGCTGTGTAACCCTGGACAGATTACTTAGCATCTCTGATTTATGGTATCCTCATTTTAAAAATAGAATTGGGAGTAATTGCTAACTCAGAGGTTGTTAAAAGAATTCAATGTTATAAACAGCTGTACTGTTCTTAGCACAATACCACACAGTTAGAAAAAAAATCAATAAAAAGGAGTTTTTGTTATTTAAACTAGACCTTAGCTGCTACTATATTATCCACAAAAGTAAAGAGATGATACTAATATTTTCAGTTGTATTAAATGAAACATCTCATATAGAAATATGGTGGTTTTTCTTAATCTGAAAATAGTTAGGATGGTGCTAGAACTCAAGTGGGCCACAGAAGTCAATATCCCTGCCCATAGTTGACCCCCGCAACTCCCTAGACTTAAATTTCTTTCTTAATTTCAGTGTTGTCTACTAAGAATCACTTATG